AGAGCAATCCATTCTTCCATTCTGTTGGAAAATGAGGATGTGTCTGCAGCCAGTTCCATGGGAGAAGTGCCTTGTAAGCCTATGTAAACTTTGGGTTTCAACTACTGGAGAGACAAGCCAGGGGAGAAGTAACCTGTCCTAGTGTATTGTAATTCTGTTGGTATTTGGAGGGGTGACAAATGTTTTGATTGAGTAGGGATGCAGTCCTAGGCAAGTGGCCGACAGAAGTGATTTCCATGAAGCAGAAGATTAAATGATTTGTCCCCCTAAACTTTGGAGTCTGCGTTAGAGGCAACTAATTTTTGAAACTTTGTATTAGCACAAATGCAGAAGGGGTAGTAAGCATTCAGTATAGTTGCACTTCTAGCACCTGAGTCTCGTCTTTCAGAAGGAATGGGACTTGCTGTTCAGATGATGTGATTCTGAAAGGGGTGGTGGAATTTATGGCCCAATCACTCCTCCACAGTGAAACAAGTACTCTGATTAAAGTTTTTGTATCAGTGCTTTCTCTGGAGAGCATTAAGGCAGGTACTGCTCTCTGGTGCACTCCCTGCCCCACGGTGTCAGAAGTAAGACTATCAATACCTGTGCTCAGGATTCATGGTCAAACCAAACATTACTTCTCAACCCCCAGTTCATGCTTACTTTGTACTTTTGTTTCAGGAAATTGAAGTAGGTGGTGGCAGAAAAGCCATCATTATCTTTGTACCAGTTCCTCAGCTGAAGTCCTTCCAGAAGATTCAGGTGCGGCTAGTCCGGGAGCTGGAGAAGAAGTTTAGTGGAAAACATGTGGTGTTCATTGCTCAGGTAAAAAACCCCTTTAGAATCACAAAAATGTTGACTTGAAGGGATATCTGAGGGTGATCTAGTCCAGACTCAGGCATGTTTCAGTGTTGCATTACCCATTAATGGTAACAGTGATAGTAATTCATTGTACCAGCAGGAAATGTAATGAGTGTCTGGTGGATGTTAGCTGAAATGTTTTCAGCTGGCAGCAGTGGAAACTTGGTGAGATGTAAAGTTGTTTCATGGAGTATATAACTTTCTTGCTCTGGCCACTCTTACTCCTTCAGAAGTTTGACACACAAAGCTTAAAATAAAAGGGAGCAAATATTAATAGGAACTTTGCTACACTTTGACAATCTAGGTGCTTAAAATTTAAGTTACTAGGAATGGAGCTAAGGTGAAAAGGTGTTGGAGGGATCTCTGGGGCAGTACTTAAGGGTTGGACAAACTAAGGATCTGTCTGTGGAGTGGAAAATGGGTTAAAATGAAGCTAGCTGAAAATTTTTAATGCAATTCGTAGAGCCAGAGCACCTTACCCTAAGTCTTTATATGATCGAGATGATTTATTTGAATGAAGTGCCTCTGGTTCACTTCACCTAAAGGTTCTTGACCCAGAGGGTGGTTGGGCACTGGAACAGGTTCCCCTAGGGAATGGTCACAGCACCAGCCTGACTGAGTGCTGTGAGATGTTCCTGCAATACTTTCTGGCACATGGTGTGACTTGTGGGGATGTTCTGTGCAGGGCCAGCAGCTGGACTCGATGATCCTTTTCCATCTCTTCCAACTCAGCATATTCAGTGATTTTTTTTAGATTCTGTGATTCTGTAATCCCTTGAGAATTCTTTATCAATTCAGTAATCTGTTTTAGAAGGGAACATGTGATTTTGAGTATGACATGACCCAGTTTGGATAATGGTAGCCCTATCATGAATACAGTCATGGAGAAGCTGTGATGTGATGATAGAAAGTACTGCAGGTGGCTAAAACTGCATCTAGAACATCTTAAAATGTCTACACTTGAAGTAGGAAAATACAAGTTTTACTGACCTAACATTTAGATTCTAATTTTGGAACAGGTTATATTTAAGCCAGGATTTGATCTGGATTGTGCAATAGATCTTACTAGTAAAACTAGCATTTCAATCTCAGATGTCACCTAGCTGTCTGTGGAACGCAGCTCACTACTCTGGTTTGCACCAGAGGCTCAGTCTGACAGAAGTTTGAAATTCCCTGGGATTTCTGTTCCCAAAGAAGTGTGTTCACAGTGCTAATGAGACGTAGTACAATACTGTGGTTGTATTCTTGAAGAGAGGAGATGAAGTACAAGTCTTCTATTTCAGTGCCCTGAATACAGGAGTAGTAATTAAAACATATAGCAGTACAGCACTTCACCTTCTGCAGCCAACTCTAGTTCTCTAGTTTCTAATGCTGATGTAACTTTCAGCATACTTAAGTCTACCTTTTTGGCTTTTCATGCATTGGTATCTAGTGTGGGGGGAAAAGGTGCATGAGTTCATTGTAACCACCAAATACTGAGAAATGCCATTTTGTTCTTCTCTTGCCTTAACAGAGAAGGATTCTGCCCAAGCCAACAAGAAAAAGCCGCACAAAAAACAAGCAAAAGCGTCCGAGGAGGTTGGTAAATGATACTGATTCAGTATGACAGCCTTCTTTTGTGCCTGGTAGTTTAGTCAAGTAATGGTTAGTTGAGTTTTTGAGAAGTCATTTAACTGATTGGCTGGTCTTGTCCTTCTCCTGCTGCTTGAAATACTGCTTTGTATCTGTCATTTGACTGCTAAAGTGTTCAGTAGAAAGGTCACCTTTGGGCACTGTGTTGCATTTCTTAGCACTCTATTTGTATTTCCAACTACAGCTGTAGCAAATTTTTAGCTGTCAGTGCTGGCTTAACAAACCCAACCTGCTGTCTCTGTTACCACAGTGTGCTGACAAGAACTATTTTCATTTAAGTTGTAGGAAGAGCTTCTTCCACATCACATGTTAGACTGTGTGCAGAAGTCAAGTCTGGCACACTGAAGGGGATGCAATGAGGGAGAGAGTGGCTGAGGAGGGGTGTAGGTACGAGTACTAGTACCTCTGGATATGAATTTGATAGCAATAGTATAGTCATTTGTGTTAAATGGCCTCCCTGCTCTCATCTAGTCACTGGATTGCTAGACATGCAACACTGCTACGTCTCTGGATGTCAGTGCCTCATCTGTATGTTGCTATGTCATTATGTAAGTCTGTGTCTTAAAGGTTTGTCCTCTTTATGACATGTGGCATGTCTTGTAGCTTCTCCCTGCCCCCTCCAGTATTATTCCTGTGTCGTGTGTTACTGTATTTTGCAGTCTTCAGGCATGGATTTTATAAGTACAGTTTCACAATACTCATTTAGCTACAGTCCTGCCTTTGGAAGACGCTGCCTGTGTCCTTTTAAAATTAGCACTGCACAGTGGTTAGAGAAGTTGGCATTTGTGTCTGAGTAGCACGCTGGCACTGTCTGCATGAGGAAGGGCCAGTGTGCAGGACTGCCCCTGTCTCAGCCTGAGATGAGATCAGGCTGCTGTGTTGTTGTGGATGTCTGTCTCCCTTTGCTATGCCAGTGTGGGCAGGTGTGAAGTGCTGCTGTAGACACAGGTGTTGGTTACAAGTGATACTGCTCTGAAACTCTGGATCAGGATGCTACAGACTTAGTAATCCATCTAGACTCTCGTAAAATAACCTGGGCCACCTTTTCTCGTGTTGGCTCACTTCTGGACAGTTCAGAAACACACATGTAGATTTCAAACAGTCTTCTAAGTATGGACTCAATTGGCCAGCTAGTCTTTTGCTGTATTACATTGGTCTTCTAGCTGCTTGGCTTTAGGCAGATGAAGAAATCAGTGTTTCCAAACCTGAGTCTTCCATGAATGTACTCTGTGCAGCTTACTTGTCCACTTAAACTTTTCCAGTCAGTGTCTCTGGCAGAGTTGCAGATGGAGCAGTTTGGTCTTGATTTAAATTTTTATTAGATGTGTAGAAATAGAAGTATGTTTTAGGGCTCTTGCCGCAAATCAGTGTATGGTCTAGAAGGTCAGAAACCTGGCTACTTTTTCTTGTGCAGTCATTAAGTTTCTGCACTCTGTAGAATTCAGCTTTTCTTTTTACATGCCCTGTGATAGTGCTGTATTGTCACACTGTGGCATTAAAGAGAGAAAACACCTCTGAATTTTCAGCCAAAGCATGCTATAAAAGATTTAAACCTTGTCAAACTGGAATTTTCCTAGAGGATGTTTTAACGCTCTAAATGTGGCATTTCAGCCGTACACTTACTGCAGTGCACGATGCCATTCTTGAGGACCTGGTCTTCCCCAGTGAAATCGTGGGCAAGAGAATCCGTGTGAAACTGGACGGCAGCAGGCTTATAAAAGTCCATCTGGACAAAGCACAACAGAACAATGTTGAACACAAGGTAAATAAAAACACTTACTTTCTCATGCAAGTGGGGGGGTCATTCTGATATCCCCAAGAGACTGCTTAGGGATACAGGAAAAGACTTGCCTTTTGGCTTGTGGAGATGCTTTGGTTTGTATTTGGAATAAGGTGCTGAAATAGAGGCAAAACAGTTTTGAGCTAAAGCTCTAGTTCAACTTGCCAAAGCCCCTGGATTATGAAGTAGTTGTATTGGTTCCCTCATGGGACCAGACAGTGTTTTATTTAGTTTTTTGTATGAATAGGGGTTGTTTGGGTTGGTTGGTTTGTGTTTTTGTTGTTTTTCAAGTGAAGCATTTAGTTTTGACCTGAAACACATGTGCTCAGTAAAGCCTGCACTTGGCTTGATTTTTTTTTTCTGAAATGGGAGGCTTGTGTTCGGGCCTGCTCGGCTCTTAGGGTCTCACATTGTTGAAAATCAGAGAGAGCCCAAATACTCTAGAGGAAATGTGTCTTTTGTGTAAATCCTCAGCTACCTTAATGTATAACAAGATAATTGGCCTCAGAGTGAAGATACACTGGCAAATAGTATAGTACCTTAAGTATGTTTACTTAGAGTTACTTGTTTACACAGCATGTATAAGCAAGATTTATTTGTCTTCACAGGTGGAAACATTTTCTGGTGTGTACAAGAAGCTCACAGGCAAAGATGTGGTGTTTGAATTTCCAGAATTCCAGCTGTAAAATGCAAAAAATGGCTGAATAAACAACTATTCATATAACAGAGTAATTTCATTTAAATTTTGAATTCCATAAACACAGATGGGGATTAACTGGTTCATGGGACTTCTCCGCTGTCTGGAGAGTGACACCTCTGAATCAAAGTATTAACTCCCCAGCTACCATTTTAATGGTAGCCCTCTTGGGTTTTTCTTGGCACTATTGCAACACAACTGGACAAAAAGAGTCCAGAGCCTGCAAAAAGAATTCATACTGAAGAACCTAAGCATTCGAAAGCTCAACTGGGGGAAATAAGGAGAATTACTGTAGAGCAATGGAACTCCTCTGAGTTTTGCACACAAGATATCAGTTGGAGACCTACCTGTTCCTGACACTGGAAGAAGTCAACTAGCAGGTGGTGTGTGACTTATGAAATGTGTAGAAATGACATGTGGATAAGGGGTTTGAATTCTTAGGAAATGGGGTGGGGGAGGTATAGGTTGATTTTTGAGGTAACTTAACTTGCTCTAAATGGCAGCATTCCTTACCAGTTCTTACCTAAAAGCAGGCTCTGTAGCTTCTCACCTTTCAGACTGAAATGGGAAGGAATTTTTACTTCTGAGTGCTTGACTATATCACTGGACAAAAATGACAGGTTTTTTAGGTATTCATCTAGCTTTCAGAAATATTTTTTTAGATTGTTTTAACATTGTTCTCTACATGCGCAGTGATACAGGGAGAGGTGGGGAAGAACTAGATGCATCAGTATCTGAAGGCTGACAGTGTCTCAGAAACAATACACTTTTGACTTCAGTATCTGTGTTAAAGAACCCTTTACACAAGCTCAGGGTGATGTTGGTCATTTAAAGTTCTGAGCTAATTACATGAATTTAGTACCTGATTGTACTAAACATAGTATTAAGAGTAAGTGTTTAATTTATCACAGTAGAAGACAACTAATTTTGTAGTCAGTCTGATAAGTGAAGAGCTAAGTTGAGACCAAGTTGTGTGACAGGAGCACTTAATAACTGGCATTTTTCTACGTGAGGGAAGATGGAGAAGTACCACTCACTGAGAATCTTTGTATCTTTACTTCCCTTTTCCATTTACAGTAGTTTTGGTTGCTTCCCATTTGATGCCTCTTTAGCTATGGAGAGCTAAAAGGTTAAAACAAGTTCTGCATTGCTTTTGCATTGAGAAAATTGAGACTTCAAAATTTAAGCATGACTTAGTAGGGCAGGACAGATAGCCCTGTGCTGTTACTGTTGGTGCCAGGAATGCAAAGAGAAGGAAAACCTGCCCTGTTGCAATTAGTAGTTAATTTCCTGTGACTTGCTGACAAGGCTTGAGTATTTGCACAAAAAGCAGGCTGTATCTTTGAAGAAGTTTGTTTACCTTAAGGCCTTTTCCTATCTCCTTTTCAAACTTCTGTCTCTGGGGTATAACTTCTTTTTTATTCCTTGACTACTTATTGTTCATCTTGAATGATTCTGCAGAAGTAAATGCATCAGCTTCCCTTAGAATTAGATGAGAGGAGTTGGCAGGTATATAATAACCCCGAATCCTGTCTGTTTGTGTGGAGAATAATTGTAAAAGATCTTACAGTAGAGGACCCATAACTTTTGAATTCAAGTTTTCATTGCAAAAATGGATATTATTCAGATTGGAAATGCCACCTTGTCTAGTTCCCCAAAAATAGTGTTGAGTCAGACACATTACTAAGCTTTCCTCTAAAACAGTCACAGATGGCAGCCTGTGCAAGTAGACCTTGGCTGGTGTGGGCTGAAGAAGCAGCTTGGGGAGTATTTGGAGACTTACCAGATGTTAACTACCTTTAGTTAAAGGCTGGTGAGTCTGCTGGGGCTGTGTAACCTCTGCAAGGAGAGGTGATCCTCCGCAGGCTTTGCTAGACAGCATTTCCTGCTTTATAGGGAAATGTAACTCAGGTTTCATCTCTTCATAGTAATAAAAATGTCAGTCGAGTTTCTTTTGAAGCACTGGGAAGGGGTGAGCAGGGGAGGATAAATCCAGTAAACTGAACAGAAAGATTGCAAACGTTCCCAGGCATTGCCAGCTGGCTATAGATTTTTCTTGGCTCTTGTTGCAAGCCCTCTTGAACTATATGATATGCAAAGGCTCACGATGGCCCCATAAGCAAATTCTTTGAGGGAAAGGATAACACTGTCAAAGCTCTATGGCTTTTACATCAATTAAACTACAAGGAGAGGTGAATTTTTGTGGCATAAAAATACAAGGCTGTGTGCTTCAAAAGACTTTAGTCTTAGTTTACCTCTATTTACAGACTCCCTCGTGTGTTTGTGTCAGTGATACAGTCAGACAACTCCCTCTGTCCCTTGACAAGCATACTAAGTGCATGCCTGCAATCTGGAAAGTCAGTTTGATGCCATCTGGTCAAGTGCTAATGAGGCTGCTGGAATGCTGGTGTCAAATGTTACTTTAACCTAAGCAAACTCCATGTGAGATGATGCTAGACTTTTCTTATACCTTTCACATGCTGGCACAGTTCAACTCTGAACGTGCGATTGATCACGAGTTCCATCAGCTGCTCTGGGTGAAAGAGTGGTGGGGCGTTCTCTACCAAGACTGCAGCAGTAATATGTGGGTACTACCAATGTGCAAACACAGCCATATACTGAAGTTCTTTCTTGTAGTAGCTCCAAATGAGAAGCAAGGGCTTTTCATCTGTTAATTGCTCATGAGACATTCACCTGATCTTAAAGCTTCAATTATTTATTTCATATGAATTCTTTCAAAATGTCTTCAAATGTTTTTGTCTATGAGGAGGTCTGATCCATGGTGATTTTTCTTCAGAAAGGTATACAGATGTGTCACAATTGTAGTATAACAGAACTTGCCTGAAGTTTTGGGTGGTAAGTGCTTGACCTATCTTTTATTAATAGGGCAACTTGATACATGATAACATCATGTCTGAGTAGTCCCTCTTGAGTGTAAATGGGAACAGCTGGTGAGTTTCAGTGTATGATCTCATGCCAAGCAGCATTCAAAGGAAATCCCATCACTTCTGCATTATGGACTGAAATAGTTAATTTCCTATTCCTTTGTTTTTCCTGAATTTTCCAAGTGATAGGCCTGAGTTTGATTCTCAGTTACATCTGAAGGTCAGAGCAATGCTGAAAAGCTACACCTTCTCCAGTTTGTGGGATGTGCTATCTAGGCCACTGGACGTTTATCAGAATGACAGAAAAAAAGATGTTGATTACAGAAAGTTATGAAGGCTCTTCATAACTCAAAATGAAGGTTGGTGGTGAGGCTGATGAGGGAGTGTGAATTTGCCTGTGTCCAGTAGGGGCTGACTGCAGCACTGATCAGTGTGAATAATTCACTGCTCTTTAACAAAGTGCCTTTACCCTGCCCCTTGCTGCCTGCCTTAAGGGTGCTCCTGTGAAAACCCTGCTGACATGAACATCTATGTATTAGCACTCTGTTCCCTACAGAGATGCAAGTAGAGGATCTTATTTATGTATTACCATCAAGAGGAGAAAGTTTGTTGGATTTGTTAAGTTTGAGTTCATGTATCTCTTCTACCTTCCAGTTACTCTTTCTTATTTTCAGGAAAATCATTCTTAAGTTTAGTGTCATGCAGTTGCTACTTGGTGTTGTTAAATGATTAATAGATAACATTTCTAATTATTGTCTATTGAGTTAACATGTGTGGCTCAGTTGTGATCTGCCTCTGGAGCAGCAAAAATAGAATTACATCCAAGCACTGAGGAGATTATTCTAGTTTTAGAGATGACTAACAGAAAAAGCACAATTGCTGCAGTGAATGCTGCTTAAAAATTTTTATGAAAAAAATAGTTCTACACTGCTAATAAAGTAGAAAGGCCAGGTTTTACACAGTTGCAAACAAAGTTAATACTGTATTGGCATGGCCCCACTGATCTTTCCCACCTTAGATCTCATGTACTGCACAGAAGAGGCGGGCAGGAGAACTTTGCTCTCTGCTCACAGAGATGCTGGGGCAGTGCTAGGAAGATATTCAGATGGTAGATGGATATCTTCACAGAGACAGATCTACAGGCTGTGTTTTACCAGGACTGTCTTAACACTTAATAAAGTTGTTTCCTATTTTCTTGGCTAAACAGATACCGTTCTGTGAAGCAAAGGGAATAGGACACATCATTGTGCTGCCCTGGAGCAGAGGAGGGGTTGCACTTGGCATGCTTGTACCGTGGAGGAGTCCTGGATCTGCTCTGTCTCCTTGCTACTTTTTGGAGTTTCTTGGGGGTGTCCTGGGAGGCCTAATAAGGGCTGCTTACTGAGTCAGCTCTTACTTTCAATAACTAGAACAGCATTTGTGATGCCTGCAATAAACTGAGCTCCTGCAACTCATCTCAGATACTGATTTTTTAAAGGGTTTGGGTATTGGAAATTTTAATCCTTTGGAAAAATCTGATTGGGAGATGCTGATACCAGTGGATGCTTTGCTAAACCAAAGGGAAAATTGGAGCCTTGTCATCTTCTCTTAAGATTTTTTAATAACCATTGTGTTTTAAATAGGTGTTGTGTTTAATCCTCTTACTGATACAAAGATAATGCCAACTGACTATGCAAAGTGTGGAAAAATTTTCCTGGATGCTCCTAAAATGTATTAGCGTATTTTTTTCTGTTTTCTAAAAACTTTTTATTGTCCTTTTACAGCCTGTTGGATTTTATCTGCATGGTTTTGGTTTGAATCCAAGAATTCCATTTGTAGTTGTGTCAATGTGGTATTTACCCTGAATTTAGAGGTTGAAGAAAAATTGTGTAGCGGATCAAGCTGAAGTAACTGGCCCAACTGGTGTCTTGCTGTATAGAAAGGTTTGGGTTTCAAGGGACCTTAAGGATAATCTACTCTAGCCCTCCCTGCTGTGGGCAGGGATACCTTCCTCTAGAATAAGATTGTTTAAAGCCCCATCCAACCTGGCCTTGAGCATCTCCAGGCATGGGGCATCCACAGCTTCTCTGGGAAACCTGTTCCAGTGTCTGACCAGTCTCACAGTAAAGAATTCATAGTATCTAATATAAACCTGCCCTCTATCAGTTTGAAGCCTTTCTGCCTTGTCCTTGTAAAAAGTTCCTCTCTCAAGAACTGCATGTCCTTGTAAAAAATCCTCTCCAGCTTTCTTTTAGCCCTACACACCTTTAGGTAATGGAAGGTGTTCTAAGGTCTCTCAGGAGCCTTCTCCAGGCTGAAGAAGCCTGACCCTTTCAGCCTGTATTCATTAGAAAGGTTCTCCAGCCCAGCTCTGATGATGTTCATTAGCGCTCCTCTGGACTCATTCCAACAGATCCACATTTTTCTTATGTTGGGGTCTCAGAGCTGGATGCAGCACGGTAGGTGGGCGCTCATGAGAGAGGAGTAGAGGGACAGAGCCACTTCCCTCAACCTGCTGGCAATGCTACTTTTGATGCAGGCCAGGATGTGGTTGGATTTCTGGGCTGCAAGGGCACTTGGCTGGCTCACGTTGAGCTGCTCATCAGCCAACAATTTCTTCTCAGGGCTGCCCTTGATCCATTCTCTGCCCAGTCTGTATTTATGCTTGGGATTGCCTGCCCCAACCCAAGTGCACTTTGTGTTGTTCAACTTTATGACAGGCCCATCTCTTGGTCCTGTCAAAAGAGTCTCCTGTTTCCTTGCAGAGAGGACTCACGTTTTCCTTAGTATTCCTTTTATCACTGATGTACCTAAAGAAGCTTTTCTTGTTGCCTTTGATGTCCCTGGCCAGATTTAATTCTCTCAGGGCAGGTTAGCTTTCCTAACACGTTCCCTCGTTGCTCAAACATCTCTACCCCTTCCAAGCTATCCAGTCTTGCTTCCACCCACTTCAGACTTCCTTTCTGTGTTTCAGTTTGTCCAGGAGCTCCTTGTTCCTCTGCACTGGTATCCTGTGGCCTCTGGAGGCTGTCCCTCTCTCTCCAGCAAGGGTGGCTCAAACACTTGGGTATCCCAGACAGGCATGTTAACATGATAGAGAACTTAATAACCAGCAGCTGTTCTGACCTGGTGATGACCTAAGCTGCTCCCACACTGTCCATGCATCAGTACCCCAGTTTCCACATATAAGCCTGATTTGGATGATGCACCAATATGGCTACACAGTTTCCAGTTGGATTTTGGGGTGGGAAAAGGTTACTTATGCCCTTCTGTATGGTATCTGTAAGTATCCTTTCTCTCTCATGTGAAAGAAAACCATGTGCTTGTTTATTCTCCCTTTTCTAGAAAAAGCTCTTTTACTGAATTTATAGTGTTTGCCCTTTCCTTTAGAACACTGGTCATTTATGTTTGTTTTCTTTTCTGCTTCCCCAGTGCCGAGTCCTACCTTTTCTACCAGCTTGCCCTGAATGGCTGTTTCTTCATTGAATTCTGTTTCTGGCCTCAAAGTTATTTTCCTGTGTTTACGGGGAGAGTAGATATGTATGTAAATGGAGTTGTCTTTGCCATGGTAATATGATCTTCAAAGGCTTGGACTACAGTCACTTTGCTGCATTCTTTACATAAAATGTTTTTCTTGGCAAGTTTCTGCCAACAGAGTGCTGCAAGGGCCCAGTCCTGCTAATTGCCTTCTGCTCCCACTGAACTGGTGGGGCCTGTGTGCATAGAAAATGAACTTTAAAGTTAGAGTTGCATGGTCTTTAGACAGTTATGTTCATGTTCTACCATTTTGCCCTTTCTTTACTGAGGTAATCTATTGAGGAAGAGATCATTGGCTCTTAACTTTTCGTGACCATTTGGTGTGTGTGAAAATACAGGAGTTCATAGCAGTGGAGGAGGGTGGCCAGGTTCCAGTCCAACATGGAAACCTCTATGTAGGTAGTCCACAGGGAGTCCTGAGTTTGAGACATCACTACCTCTTTTTGTACCTGTTTTTCTCTTTGCCATTAAAGCTGGTCAGTGTGTCCTGTGGGCTAACAAAACAGGAGCTGTCATGGGCAAGAAGGCTGCACTCTCCAGGCTTAGGGAGAGGTTTGCTGGGAGAGAGGATATGTGATGTCAAGAGCAAGGCAGAAAGAGAGTACATCAGTACTGTGTCATCAGCTTGTACTGCAAGCCCCACCACAGCACAAAATTCTCAGTGGAGTGGATCTGCACCTCAGAAGAGATCTGAAAAGTGATAAAGAAGTGAACACACAGATGATTCTATTGCAGCTTTCTCTAGGGTCTCAGTCTAAAACCTTTTCTGTGTTCTGATACTTTCCATGTGGAAAATGGAAAGGAACCTCCTGCTACTGCCCTTAGCTCCTGCCCTGGTTTTCAACCTCCCAGCCCACTGGGTACTTGCTTAGAGCATGACCCCTCAAATGTTACTACCTGGAAGAACTGAGAGGAGGGAACAGTGGCATGAGATGGATGGAGACAGATGATTCACAGGATTTTTTTTTGTAGCTATCAGAGCTACAGTCTTACAAATACAGCAGCTTTTCATCAGAGGGTATTAATTGATGTAGTCACAAGTGATACTCTCTCTTTGCCCTGGAAATGGAGAGTGAAGCCATTTATATCTGTTGAAGTATAAACTGCTGTAACTGAGGGGGGTGTTCTCAAAATCCCACTTTCCAGAATCAGCTGGCCCCAGTTTTTTTTTTCTGCTTGTATGTATATGGAGTACTGTGATTTATCCAGGCCTCAAACTAGTCTAGCTTTGTAAGGTAAAAAACAGGTTTGTATAACTATTTAGAAGCTAGAATGAAGTAGCCCTAAAGTTGTATTAAAGATGTTTAAAAAAACCCACAAAATATTGTGAAGATGCTTGCCATGTGGATAATGTAGCATTTACATTGTTTTGGGGTGTTCAGACATGGCTCTGAAACAGTTGCCTGTTTTACTAAAGTCAAGAATGGTGCAGCCAATTGCAAGCATAGAGAGAATTTCAGCAAGGGGAGAGTGTGTTAATTATCCACACGAGATGATCACATTCAGTGCTACATTTCATGTGTTTTCATATCCACTGAAGCAAAGCAAGAGAAGTGTTGTGCTGGGGCAATTTGCATGCATGGCTTAGAGCTGAATAGATGTAAATGGTTAAAAAGGGGTTCTCTGCTAGAGAGGAGGAGGGGAAAGTAAATGTGCATTCCCAAAAAAGTACATTCCCAAAATAAAAAGCTTACATCATGGACCTCTTCAGTTTTCCCACACTTCTTCCCTAATTATTGTCCTGCAGGACAGCTGATCTTTTTCAAACAGGAAGCTGTTTACAGATAACACTTGCAACTGTTTTGTCTGATTTGTTGAACTGTCGAAAAGAAAAAGACAACCTCTTTTCAAATTAAAAACTGTCAGACTTCTGTAAACAGCAGCAATGAGGTTCATCTGTGCAGTGTCCCTGCAGGCACAGAGCGTTGTGCAGTTCCCATTCTCACAGCAGCCATAAGGTAAGAGACTTTTATGCTTTTACTCTGTAAAAACATATAAAAGAAAAAGTCTGGATATTTGTTAGGGAGCTGCTTTGTATATGGCAAAATGTGATTGGCAATCCCCAAATAGAAGGGGAAGGTAAAGGAAAAAAAGCTTGCTTGAGTCTATTGGATAACATTGGACTTTTCTACTGAGAAGCACCCATGTGGGTTAGATCACTGAATGCCAGTTTAGTTTAGGAGGGGGTTGTATTTAAAATGTACAAATGTCATTGGAAGATCTTGCTTTCCTTTTAGCAGTAAAGGACAAAACAGTACATGAATTTTAACTTCTCCTACAATTGAAACTTATTTTACTCCATACCTGAGTTGTAATTCCTGGTAACAGACACAGGCAGTTGTCTTGTTTTCCACTTTGAAAAGTGATCTTTTAATACAACTGCAAAGCAAAGAATGAAGACTGGCATTGCAGAAGTGAAGGTCCAGTAAGGGCTGGAATTACATCACTGGATAATTAAGAGCAATCTTGGTGAAAACCAAATCATATAGGCAGTAGTACCATGTAGAAATGCTTAATGAGATATGAGGGTGTATAATGATATAAAATCTTGGTCCAAGTGAGCAGGAATGAGTGAGAGTAAGTCATACTTTAGTAAGCAGCCAGGCACATGCCTGCTTTTCAGTCATGAGCTATGAAAACTAGGATTCATAATGGACTTGCAAGTTTCCATTCTGACCTCTGTGCATACATATGTGTAAATTTTGGAGGAGGATTGTTTTCTAGCAAAATCAAATCACTGTGGAGAATGCCCAACTTGTCATACAGTGAAACAGTGGACTGGAAATGTTATGCCTTTGTGGATTGGTGTAAAACCAATACACTTTGATTCTTGGGTATTGAAATATTTTCAAAGTGTTACAAATATAAAAACTGCTTCCCTATGTTTTCCTCTCTGTAGCTGAGATCTTTGTATTTAATATGTATGTGATTGTTTACATGGTCATGAACATTAAAGGCATTATAATAATCAGAAAATATAAAACAAACACTGATTTAAAGTTGACACTTTTAAAATTATATTATCCCTAAAATTTTAGTATGTTACTGATGCAGCATACATAAGGTGTGCCAGTGTTGTAGACAAGAAGTAAGACTTACAAGGTGAGTATTCATTTTAAAAATGTTTTTACTCTCTTTCATAAAATTATTAGATGTATCTGTTAAAATGAAATTATTGTTTTAATTAATACATGGAAGATAATGTGTAAGTTAAATTCATAGTCAGAATAGCAGTTGAAACATGACATCGTTCTACAGTCAACAGAGAAGTGCAGCAGAAATCTGTGCAATTTCTAATTGTATGCTATGTTCAAGACTATTTTTTTCTGATTATTTTGAGTGATTTTACACTGTTTCTAAAGCTCTTTTTAGTCATCTCTAGGGCTGTCCAAAAATTCTTGAACGAGAATCCTTTTGAAGTAGGAAGACTTTTGGCAGAGTAGCTTTTTAAAGAGAAGTGTCAGTTTTCTGGGATAGTTCAGTTCTTTTGTCAAATTATTTTGGCTGAAAACCAGGAGAGTTTAGCCAAAAATATTCTCATGGTGTCTCTTGGGAAGTGTAGTTTGTGCTTTGCACTGCATTTCACTACTGGCTGAACCTCACAGCTGAACCACACTTCCCGTAAGGCTGTGTGGTCAGGGTCTCACTATTTTAATTTCCCTTGATGAAAGGAGTGTTATGGTGTATTTTGGAAAAGCTAGTCTCGTGAAAGAGGCACAGGCTGGGCTCATAAGGTATCAGCTGGTTGATAACTAGTTGGCAGATTCTTAAAATCTGATTATTTCCTTCTGGTTTGCACGAGCCACAGGCCATCCTGGTTTTCAGCCATGAGAGTGGGACCCTTCAAGAGAGTGTCAGCAGAAGGTTTAAAGCCTTTTGTTGTTTTTGGCCGTGCAAACACCTGTACAAGGGAGAAACTATTTAATAACATTTCTAATGCTTTGTTAATGCTTCTGCCAACTTTTGTACTGAAAGTGTTCTATTTTATATATTTGGAACTGAAAAATGCAAGGGAGCATGGCTGGATGTTCAGATTTTTTAAGAACTCTTATGAGGAAAGAGGAAAACAACCTACTAGGAGCCTGAAGCTTTAGAAAGAGGTGGTTTTGAAAATCCAGCAAGGTGTCATCTCACCCATGTAAGTGGCTCTTCAGAAAAATCTAGTCCTGGGTCTTTTGCCTTGTATAAGATGTTTGTAGTCAAGAAAAGAACAGAAGTTGGTCTGCTTAAGCATTTCATCAGTGAACCAGTTAGTTAATTTTTCCATAGGACACTAGGATCCTTACCTTCTGTGACTCTTTGCATGCTGTCCCCTCAAAAATTTGTCAGAAGATTGTTTAGAAGGTCCCTGGGTTGTCCTGGAGGCCAGGACAGAGCAGTATGACAAATGGTGAGGGGGTTTAGGGTTTACATTGGCGTTCTTCTGTACTGAATCATAGGATGGTTTGGGTTGGAAGGGACTTTTAAAGATCTAGTCCAACAGCACGTGAATGAAACCAAGCTGGATGCCAGACTCCAAACCAAGAAGTGGCTGTGCAATATGGAGTGAGTGGAAGAGAGCTAAGGGCTGAAGAAAGTGATCACCACAGTTAGACAAGTGTGTGATGGCCACAGCAGCCATCAGAAAATTGCTTCTGAGAGGTGTTCCATGATTCTCTCTGCTGGATGTGGATCAATTCACCATCTTTAGTGCCAAATGCTGCCGGAGCTAGAGTTCTGGAAGGTGCAAGCTTACCTTAAATTTGTGTGCGGAGTTGTCCTTCAAGCATAGAGATTTTGAAAAATGACTCAGAGAAAAATGGTTTGTACAGTTCTCTTTGAAAACTAGACTGCTGCTACCCATATCACATAATATTATAATTATGTCTCATAATAACCTCCTGTCTGGGACCACTTGCCCAGGAAGTAGGAGCTCTAAATGCAGCTCATTGCACTGCTCCAAACCTCCAACTCCCATCTGCTGGAAAGGTGCCCTTGTAACTAACCAACATAGTAATTTGGTGTGCTTGGAGGAGACTGAATGATTTGGGTGTGTTTCCTTGATGGAAATGTGCTAGGTGAGAGAAGAGTGTCTTGTTATTCTTCTCAGGCAAGATGTTGACCATCTCTGGTATGTGCAGTAAGAAAAGCTTAGACACCCAAGTTGATGATTTTAGCAAATACGGAAACTTGCTGACAGGTATCCATTTGTTCATCTTTAGTGGGCTCTAGAGAAATGGTCTGTGGGCTCCAAGAGACCATGGATGAGATGTTGAATGCCAGGGTCAGTCTGGTCTTTGGAAGGACAAAATTATAAAAATTATTTTATAATTTTAATTTTACTTATATAGAGAAATTTTTGTTATCATCAGAGAAAGTTTTGTAAGAGATCTAATTTTTCAGAATTAAAACAAAGAGCTTTAAAAAATTTGATATGAATGAACCAGCATTGTTAGGTGGCGCAGTAATAATAGCCAATGAATTAAAAACACCAGACAAGAATCTAGTGAAGACCTCACACAGGAAACAGAAAAGAACCCAGCACATTCCTATTCTTATTAAATAGGAAAAGAAGAATGTGTATCAATGAGCTTTGTCAGAATGGTGTTAAGAAAACAGGTCTCTGATGGCTCACTGGAGTGGAGCTATGTTCAAGAAATGTTAAGGAAACAGATACTGAGAACATGTGGAAGAGCAAGAGAAGGACTGATGGTGCATGCTGAGAAGACTGCAGAGTGCTGGATCTGCCAGCAGCACTTACAGGTACACTTGCAGTGTTTCTCTCTAGCTGTGCAATGAACTTGCAGTTTAAAGCTAATGTAGAGATGAAATGAGATGATGTAGTGAGAGCCATGCTGTGCTGAAAAAACTCTTTATTGGAGATTATCTTCCATTGCTTTTTAGTATCTTCATGAATTGGGTTTGTTCAGCCAGAAGAGAAGGTTTTGGTGTGACCAAATTGTAGCCTTCCAGTGCCTGAAGGGAACTTAGAGGAAAGATGGTAAGGGACTTTTTACAAAGGCCTGTAGTGACAGGACAGGGGGAAAGGGCTTCAAACTGAAATTAGATAGTAGAAAAATATTCTTTACTGTGAGGCACTGGAACTGGCTGCCCAGAGAAATTGTGGATGCTCCTGGAAGTGTTGAACCCCTGGAAGTGTTCAAGGCCAGGTTGGAGCTCTGAGCAATCTGGTCTAGGGGAGGGTGCCTGCCCATGGCAAAGTGGTTGGAACCAGATGACCTTTAAGCTCCCTTCCAACGCAGGCCAAGATATGATATGTCAAAGTTGCCTTTTATGTAATTGTGGAGTGTCAAAAACTCTCAATTGTTGTTCTCTACTTTTATGATAGTTGTACAAAACCTATGGAGGGACTTGGTGGGCAACTGGCCTCCAGCTATGGCCAGCCCACTACGTCTGACAGACTGTCTCCTAAGCAACCCTGTATTTAAACATGCATTTGCCTAATTACACTTAATGTACAAGTGATTGCATCACACTGTTCCTTGATTCTAGGGAAGATGACACTTCAGCTACAGAAACTGCAGCTACAGAAACTGAGTACATGGACTTTCTGTTATGTATAGAACTGATGCCTCTGTACCTTTTTGGCAGCACTGAGTAACTGTGGCAAGTCTTGGTTTTGTTTTCATTGTTCCTTTTCTTAAGTCAGATGGTGGATGTTGGGATTTCAGGTCAGTTTACTCTTTAACACCATTGAAGCCTTTTATTTTACTGGTAGCTGCACAATCAGAACAGTAGCATTAGTTTTTGCTCCTGTAAGTGCCCTATAAATTCTGAGCTGGACAAACGTGGAGGTTTAAGTGCTCATTGCTTAGCTGTTCTGCAGCTTCTTAATTGGTGCACAGCTGCCCTCTGGTCATGTTCTAGCTGTGTGAAAGGTACATCTGTGGCTATTGTTAGAGAATTTGCTGAGTACCAAAGCAGTGGAAATGCCAGTAGTTACCACTTACTTAACACA